CCCCAAAACCCCAAAACCCCAAAACCCCAAAACCCCAAACTTGCAAGATCCATATATTTATGATATTAACAACATAAGTAATAATTCAAAAGTATTCAAATTATAATAAAATATGCAGAAAGTAGAAGTATTTGGAGAAGTTCCACTCGCGAGATTTGGTCACACTATTACCCAAGGTTTGGCTTAAACTAAATTTAGCAATTGATTGAATATTTTTTGTAGTTTCAAAATCTAAAGTCGTTTTGTTTGGAGGGGCTACAGGTGATACAGGCAAATATATTATCACAGGAGACACCTACGCACTCGACTTAATTTCTTACAAATGGACAAAACTAGAAGGTAAATATAGAGAATTTCTATAAGATCAATTTTATCAATCAATAGAGTTTAAACTTACATTTTAGGAAGTGGTATTGCTCCATCACCAAGAGCAGCTCATGGAAGTTGCTCAGTAGATCAATTGCAAATGGTCATCTATGGTGGTGCTACAGGCGGTAAATTCTCATTTTTCTGATGACTAATTAAATAGGTGGAAGTCTTGCTTCAGATGATCTATATTTACTTGATTTAAGAAATGGAGATCAGTCAGCTCAATGGATGATTGTCCCAATCGTAGGTCAAACTCCAGGCCGTCGTTATGGACATACCATTGTTTTCTCTAAGCCTTACTTGCTGGTTTTTGCTGGTAATACTGGAACTGAGGCTGTAAATGATGTTTGGTGTTTGAATGTTGATAAAGCCCCATTCTCGTGGTCTAAGCTAGAAACTCCAGGGGAAGCACCAATTGTAAGAGTTTATCATTCAGCAGCTCTCTGCTCAACAGGAAGTGCAACTGGAATGATGGTTATTTTCGGAGGTAGAACATCTGATTAGAGTGCATTGAAAGATACATGGGGTTTGAGAAGACATAGAGATGGAAGATGGGATTGGGTAAAAGCTCCTTATAAACCTAACACAGAAGAGCCACTTGCTAGATATCAACATTCAACTTTGTTTGTCGGTACTCTTATGATAGTGCTAGGAGGCAGAACTAACAATGTAGGAGAAAATGTTTAACTAGAAGTTTATGAGACAGAATCTTCAGAATGGAGAAAGTTTTCAACTCTTTAAAGATTTAGACATACAGTCTGGGCTCTTGATGCAATGATATATATGCATGGTGGATTTGAAAACGAAACTCCCAATATTCCAACTAATACTATCGTAAAGCTCGACTTGTTAGGAGTATTCAAGGGAAATTAAATTCTAATAGATAAATTGAAGAATGTTGTAGGTCCTGGCAAAAAGGATAATCCTTAAGATAATAGACCAGGCTCCAAATCTCCTACCGATGACAGCTGGTCAGGAGGCTCAAAAACTCCTCCCTCACAAGGTAGCAAGTCACCTTCAATCAGATTTGATTAAATTCAAATTGTCGGTCCAAATGATAATAGACCACAATAGTTAAGTCTAGATGAACTGACCAGAAAGCCTGGCGAAAAGCCCGTCAAACAAAAACTTAACTCAGTTGACACTCTTTATTCCCTTTTCTTAAATCATTTACTCAGACCACGAGAATGGAATGCTCAGTTCGATGGAAATGGATACTTCGCATTTAGAAGAGAACATATTATTGCACTTGCTGAAGAATGTCAAAAAATATTAGAAGAATAACCAATGGTACTAAAAGTCGATGCCCCTATTAAAGTATTCGGTGATATTCATGGTTAATATCAAGACCTAATGAGATTCTTTGATTTGTGGAGCACACCATCAGAGACTGGAGATATTGAATCCTTTGACTATTTATTCTTAGGAGATTATGTTGACAGAGGCTCTCACTCATTGGAAACTATTTGCCTGTTAATGGCATTAAAAGTTAAATATCCCGATAAAATCCACTTGCTCAGAGGTAATCACGAGGACAAATGGATCAATAATGCATTCGGATTTGCAGAGGAATGTTCTCACCGTTTAGGAGAAGACCCAGCAGAGCCTGATTCTGTTTTTAATAAAATTAATGATCTCTTCGACTGGCTGCCACTTGCTGCTGTTATTGAAGATAAGATTGTTTGCCTTCACGGTGGTATTGGAAGTACCCTAGTTAATATAGAGCAAATTGAAATGATTCAGAGACCACTGGAAGTCATTCATGAAGTCTCAACACCTGAGTAATAACTAGTTGTTGATATTTTATGGAGTGATCCCACTGATAACGATTCAGAACTAGGAATTCAACCTAACTTCATTAGAGATCCAAATGGAACTGGTAATATTGTTAAATTCGGTCCAGATAGAGTGAAATAGTTCCTTGATAATAATAAAGCAAAGTATATATTGCGTGCTCATGAATGTGTAATGGATGGCTTTGAGAGATTCGCTGGAGGTTAGCTATTTACTGTCTTCTCAGCTACTGATTATTGCGGCAGGCATAAAAATGCTGGAGCCATGCTTTAGATTACTAAGTAGTATGAGTTAGTACCTAAGATGATTTATCCACTAAATAACCCTGAGCAGAACTGGATTACTGATGAAGAGCCCTTGAAGAAGAGACCTCCCACTCCTCCAAGATGGGCTAATCAAGGTACAAGAAAGGCATCCTACGAATGATTAAATAACAATAACTCTTATCCTCACATGTAATAGGGAGTATTTTAATATAATCACTTCTTATATGATGAAACATCTACACCATTCACATTTTCTTAATAAAGTTTAAATTTAGTTAGGATTTATTTTTGAACATTTTTCTATTCTCATCCAATCATTATCAAATGAAGGGCTGGGGTTTTGGGGTTTTGGGGTTTTGGGGTT